ACAAATATAGTGGTGCACTCTGCTACTCTTAGCCTGCGCTGCTGAATGGTGGCCATCTTGAAAGTGTCCTATCCTCAGTGTTTCAGAGGGTATGATGACTCTTCTAAGAACTTGAGCAGGTAGAAGAAGAAAGGCCTACAAGTATCTCAACAAATGGTGTTGCTGAAAGGCATTACTTGGCATTAGTGCTGTCTTCCAACAGAAGATAATCTTCAGTCAATTCATTGTATAGCTTCTAACCATTTAATACATCATCTGCATATATTTGCATATGAATGAAAAACAGAGTCTTGACAAAAAGTAGTGTTTTCTTGGTTTTTAGATGATGCACACTTTTTGCTACACCTGCCACCATCTTAGAGGGATTGTCCCATGTTGGAAGAGAAGGGAAGAGGCTTCTTCTGAAATAGCACCTGCCACATTCACTTTTTCCAAGTACTTCTTTATAAAAACCATTTATCTCTTTTTAAAAAGTGCTGCTGCTGTCTAATTAAGCAGGTGCTCCTTTTTAATAATCCAGTAGGGTTTTCAACTGTTAAATCCAACCAGTTGAGTGGCTAAATGTTGCAGCCCCGCTGGCCCCTAGCACAATGTGGGCTTCTAAGATGTGGCACTAGCTATGCTGGCTGGGACTGACAGGAGTTGGGAGTCTAACAGCTTCCAGAAGGCTATATCCCACATATTGAAGCTTCAGAGATCCAGCAGACCCATGCAAAAACCATTGGGAAAGCAGCTTTGAGAGCCTAGTGTGGAAAGACAGGGCTTACATTTATATAATAAGCAATAAGAATTAATAAATGACCTTAGCCTTGTACAAAACAAAGTCTTTGGGGCTCCTTTACATGGAATAGGAGATTCAAAGTGTCTTTTAAATTTTAATCTGCCCAGCCAATCATAGCCCTTTGGACTATCTCAGAAACAAAGGGGAATATCTCAAAATGAGCTAATATACAATCCATAAAACAGGGAGTTGAAAGGCAATGAGTTGTAGCTTCTATTTCAATTGCACTGTGCCAGGGAGAGCACCATTTTTGTTGTTATTGTAATTACAATTACTTAATTGAGCACCATTTGCAAGTGATGTGCTGAGCTAGTTTTTGCTGAGCTCTGAAATCAAAGGAGCTATTTTAATCTACACCAGCCTAGGATCTGGTCCATATCTCTGACAGGCAGGCAGTGATGATATGTGACCTAGTCATTAATGCTACACAAACCAATATGATCTTCTAGAGAGGAAATTAGTCAAGAAATAGCTACACACATTACAGTACTGGACCAGAGAGCTGCTGTAAAAATTCCCAAGGAGCTCCCTTACGACGGAGTCTACCTTCATTCTGTGTCCATTTATTCCTATTCTTCCCAAAGCAAGACAATCCTCTGCATGAGGTTCCTGATACTTTGGTTAAGAACAGAGAGAAAGAGACCTTGACTCTAGCAGCCTGAACTGTGTCCTCCTGCATCTCAGTTGCATGTAAAGCAATTCCCATCAGCCCCGAGCTAGCACGGCCAATGATGAGGGATGATGAAAATGGTAACCCAGCCAGCTACATCTGGAGGGCTAAAGGTTTCCCACTCCCAATGAAAGGTAACCAGTGTCTGCTTCAGGCCACAGTCCTAAGCATGCAAAACAAGTCCTATTGAAATTAATGGCAGTTAATTATAGTAAACATGGTTGGAATGTCACTGTATCCTAATTTCCCCATTGAAATCAGTTATGTTCACTAATATACTACAGTGTCATGAAGGACAGTGACTGGCAAAGTATTGCTCTTTTTCTATGTTCTGGCAAACTCTCATTGATTTCAATTCATCAGCATTTAGGATGTGCAAGGCACAAACCATGTGTGATTCAGTTTTGTCCTCTTGCAAGGTCTGATGCAGGAAAGCATAAATTCACCTCCTGGAGTATCCCAAGAGTCCTTGTCTAGTCTAGTCTAACCTTGACTATCTCTAGAAATGGAGGCAGCTGAATAGTCCTTGTTATGTCCCCTTGGTAACTGATTATGTAGCTGTGCCTGCAGATAAATGTCCTCTCTCGCTTTTGGCTTTAAAGTAAAACTCATGTGAGGCATAAAACATTTCAGCTATTTACACTAGTTTGAGGCATTTTTAATGTCTCTCCTCCCCCTTAATGTGATTTTTCTCCCCTAGAGGGAAATTAAAGGACTTTGGCTGAAAGGTGCTTTTTTAAAAAAAAAAGTTGTAAGGAATAATGGGCAGTTATCATGCACCATATTTTAATAAGGCGAAAACCCACCAAGTACTTGTGTGCAATCCCTCCTTACCATAGACTGAGCTACTGTGATGTCACAGAATGTCCATAGACATCTCTAGCGCGGCCAAAGGCCCAGTAACCAGTGTAAACAGTGCATATTCTTTGACCCCAGAGGCAGAAAAGAGCTTCATGAAGTTTTGGAAGCTGGGTAAGAAGAGAAACCAGGAATTGGGAGACCAATGATGGCAGGATTAGCAGGCAGGGTGACTGAATGAAGTGGAATGAGCTGAGGAGAATTAGGAATGCTCAGGGGTGAGAGGCAAGGACCTCAATGGAAGCAGACAAGAAATTGAGGAAAGGAAACAAGAGAACCAAGGGAAACTCACATACCTTCCACATAGGCATGAGTTGTTCTCGGTGAAGAAGAGTAGACACGGAAATGTTCTGAGGAATCATGGGAAATGTAGGTGAGGAAGACAAAGTTGTAAGGTCCCAGTCTGCATCTGTTTTGGAATTTTAAAAAACTTAACCGTTTTTATATGCATAATTGTTTTAAAGTGTTCGTATTGTTTTCATATGTGGAGTTGTTTTACAGATGAAACTGTTTTTAAGTGCTTTTAAATTTTCCTTTTTATGGCTGTAACTGTTTTGGATTTGATATCCTGCCTTTCACTCCCGTTAAGGAGTCTCAAAGCGGCTCACATTCTCCTTTCCCTTCCTCCCCGACAACAAACACTCTGTGAGGTGAGTGGGGCAGAGAGACTTCAAAGAAGTGTGACTGGCCCAAGGTCACCCAGCAGCTGCATGTGGAGGAGCGGAGACGCGAACCCGGTTCCCCAGATTACGAGACTACCGTTCTTAACCACTCCACCACACTGGCTCTCACCAGTGTGGTTTTCTTTATTTTATAACTGGATTTTTTATATTTATATTTTTGGTAATCAGCACTAGGATCTTATGTCAAACGGTGGGTAAATAATCTAAATAAATAAAAAGGATAACTTAATGCATCAAAGTGGTCATCATTCCATTAACATTTAAATGCATTTGATGTTTCAGCCCCATAAACACGTTTGTGTGTGTGTGTAAATCTTATTCTCAGAGAAAGATTCTTTCTGATTGCCATATGAAGCTTTCAGATGTAAAAAGCCAGAAGAGAAATTCTTTGGTTAATAGCTCCCAACGACTGATATGCAACAACCATGGGGTTGTTGTGGTAATAAAGCTGGTGTGTGTGTGTTTGTGAACACATATATGCTAATTTGAACTACTTGGGAAAATGGTAATGGAATAAATAAGTCATAAATTATGGACAGACTTGGGTCAGTGTTACAGTTCTAATAATCCCATCGTTCTTAATGGATTCTTGGAAAATGCTGATTCGTCACAGGACCTAAGTAAGGGCATAATCTTTGGAGTCTCTCACTGTGCCATTTGAGAATTAAAAGCATTTATTCACTATGCACACAGAAATGGTTTTATCTGGCAATAAAAACTTTTTATGGGTTTCTTAGTAAATTTGTACTGATTTCCAGCAGCAATATCTTCTATGGCGTTTGAGGAAAACCAATCACTGCACAAACCATCACATATGGGCAAATTTGGTGCCTGGCCAAATCTGGTGGTCTTCATCGCAATGTCATATGTCAATAACTCAAAAATTGGTGAAATAGAGTGGCCTGCTTATATGAATACAACTTGCTCTTTGAACTTGCTTTGCACCCTTGTCAACGCATGATGAGCAATGGGTGATCAGTATGATTACTAAAATTCCTGCTGCAGACCATAGCTGGAAAGTATTCATGCCTCAATTGGTGCTGCTGATTTGACTAGAAGGGACATTCCATTAGGTTACATTCAGTGATCTTCTTGAGTATTCAACAAGCTATCTACTGCATTGCTCCATAAAATCTACAATTAGGGATGAAATTTTCTGATAATTTTGACATTGAACTCATTTGCATGCTTGTTTTTCCTTATTCTTGATCTCAATGAGAAGTGGTTTTTTTAAGGTCTCCATTTAAAATATATTACAAATTCTAGCATATTATATGCACTATTACACATATAGTATTTTATGCGTATACACTCCAGCACAAAAACAGATAAACAAAATTGCATATAGCTGTGTAAAATACTTATTTTAAAAGTTGTAGAATTATAGTACCACATGGGGCTTGTCTCTTTTGATGTGAGATGTTGGACTTAAAAACAAAACAACCAATAATGTATGAGCAACTTGCTGGAATAATGCAGGTAAAGCTTGATTGGTCAGAACTGGCAGATTCCATGTATAAATTAATTTTAAATGGATTCTGCTTTCATCACCACTGAAAATGGGAAAATCTATATCTCCTGGAGACACACAATGAAGTGAAGAGTCATTTTGCTGAACTACTTCAACTCTGTTTCTACTTATATTATTTATCACTCTTTCCAGGAAGCAAAATGTGGCATGTGTGAAAGAAGGGGAGGGGTGGGTGCCAGTACGCCTGAGCAGCTGCTGGGATATGTGCCCCTGGGACACCTGCCATTTAAATTACCCATAATGCTCCTGATACAATCCCATTCCAGGCCAATGTTGAACATTAAAATGGTAGCCCCACTGGAGCTATGTGAGAAGCATTGTGGGTCATTTGATTTTTTTTTTTTTAAATTGACCTTTCAATTGTTGTAACCTGTCCTGGGAGCTGAAGGTGAAGGGCGGGTAATATATCGAATAAATAACAAGAGCAATAGTAATGAAAATGGTGGGTTGCTCACAGCTGCCTTGCACTGATTACAGGGGTACTTGTTGCTTGCTGCCATCACCAGCTGATAAACTGCCTGAGGGGGCACTAATGTTGGAGAGAGCCTACCAGGAGGAACTTTGCAAGATAGACCTTCAAATCCAAAGCCAACTCTGAAGGAGGGAAAACGGAAGGGAAAACCATCAAGGGTCAGAGCATATTTAATTCTCTTGATATTCACGCAGATTACTCTTATTTTATATTCTGTGAAACATTGAGCAAGATGCATAGCTTCTCATCTGTTCCCTCAGCTATTTATTTTTAAAAAATTCAAGGGTTTCCAACAACTGCAGTGTCTTTTTCCATGATCAAGGAAGTTTTACAGTCCTGCAGCAGCATTTGAATAACTTTATGGCCATTTGTCATCTACCACAGGACATGTCTTTAACTAGTTTTATGAGTTTTGCAATAAAAGCTTTTCATGACAACACAATGAATACTTACGGCAACGAGAGACGTTAAAGAGCATGTTCTAAAGTGAAGACGCAGTCCACCAAAAGGGATTTCATGGTCAACTGTAGATGTTCAAGGGCCAAAAAGACCGTGAAGAAACTAAAGCTGCATTTTATATGGTAGGAGACAGGCTAACTGTTTAATCCGGAAATAATTCAAAATAAGCTAGCCTTGCACTAGAAACAAAGCAAGCGGCATCCATATAATTTGGTTTCCTTGTACATTGCACCAGTCGTGCTCTTCATTGTGCTGTTAACAGTTAACCACACATTTTTCTATTCTGATAAGGAGAAAAAAGTTATCTACTTAATTGCTTGCTCTCTGCTTTGGCATGGTTTGTTCCTCTGTTATCCAAGCCATCGCAAATGATCCTTACTCCAAAAAACTTTAATCCACAGTGCTGTTTACATTTGTATAATGTGGTCCTAAACAAAATTCTTGGTGTGAGGTCTGGAAGTGGCAAGGGCTAAGAGAAGCATATGTTGCTCTTTCTAAAGATCCATATTCACAAAGACAGTTGGAGGAATTCTAAGGAAGTGTTTGAATACTTGGTTAGGATGAATATCCTCTTTGGAATCCTACCTACTGCCGGCATAAATTCCACCAAGGGCTTAACAACAGGACTTACAACGGTATCCTAGGTTGCTGGCATATAGGTGACCCATGTCTTATTGCTGATTTCATGTAAAGCATTACATTTTGCTATGCCTGATGTGAATTCTTTAGAGAAGATGATGAAGAAGAAGAGTTTGGATTTGATATCCCGCTTTATCACTACCCGAAGGAGTCTCAAAGTGGCTAACATTCTCCTTTCCTTTCCTCCCCCACAACAAACACTCTGTGAGGTGAGTGGGGCTGAGAGACTTCAGAGAAGTGTGACTGGCCCAAGGTCACACAGCAGCTGCATGTGGAGGAGCGGAGACGCGAACCCAGTTCCCCAGATTACGAATCTACCGCTCTTAACCACTACACCACACTGGCTCTCTCTATTGTGCACACATCTACTGTGCATCATCCTAATACCTTTCATGTCCTTCTCTTTGTTTCAATGTATAGATGGGCACTATATTGGTGTCATCACTGAAGCAGGATTCATTTGCCAGTCCAGTCAGCTTCTATACAGTGGTACCTTAGGTTAAGTACTTAATTTGTTCCAGAGGTCCGTACTTAACCTGAAACTGTTCTTAACCTGAAGCACCACTTTACATAATGGGGCCTCCTGCTGCTGCCGCGCCACCGGAGCATGATTTCTGTTCTCATCCTGAAGTAAAGTTCTTAACCTGAAGCACTATTTCTGGGTTGGCGGAATCTGTAACCTGAAACGTATGTAACCTGAAGTGTATGTAACCTGAGGTACCACTGTATGTGGAATGCAGTGGGATGAGAAGTATGTAAACCACAGCCAGCAAAACGTCAACCCTGATTTCCCCTCAAAGACACAGGACTCACTTTTTAATTTTATTTTAGAGTGATTTTTAACCAGAAGAGTTTTGGAAGTTGTGCGCAAATGTGTGAAAAACAAATACAACAGCCTTCCTTTTGTTTATTGAGGGCTAAAACATTGTTAGCACTAAGGCTACCATTCTAAGCACACATGGAGTAACTTTCATTGAACGTCATAAAGGACAGAACAATAAGTGACCTGTGTCACATGCTTACCGGTAAATGAGTGTGCTTAACCTGGCTTTCGTTTTGGAGAGGAAGTGGCTATGGGCCCCAAGTCTAGAACATGCTTCTCTTCTGGTTCAGCACTCTACAGAACCAGTTTTCTGTTGAAATTCACCCCTATCTGGCTGCAATTAAACATGTATGAAAACTGCTCTGCACAAGTAGCAGAGTTTTCGTTTTAAACATCTAATTTGATGATGATTAATCAGTTGTTTTATTTCTATGCTGCCTTTCCAAAGTTAAAACCATGCTATCAGCTTACAACATGAAAAAATTGCATAACCACGAACATAAAGAATGTAGTTACCGTATTTTTCGCTCTATAGGACGCTCTATAGGACGCACCAGACCACAAGTTTTTGGAGGAGGAGGAAAACAAGAAAAAAAATATTCTGAATCTCAGAAGCCAGAACAGCAAGAGGGATCGCTGCGCAGTGAAAGCAGCAATCCCTCTTGCTGTTCTGGCTTCAGCGCAGCCTGCATTCGCTCCATAAGATGCACACACATTTCCCCTTACTTTTTAGGAGGGAAAAAGTGAGTCTTATAGAGCAGAAAATACAGTATAAAAAAATAAACAAAACATCAAAAAGTGCAAAACCAAACTGAACGTTTCCCACATAAATCATAAGATACAAAATATACAAAAAATTACATCAACAATAGCCCCTTGCAGCAAAACCCCCTAAACAAGGATCCCAGCCCAAGATTCTGTTCAGTAGCCTCAGATTTTGTAGCTGGAGTCAGTCAGGGCCCCACCCTCCCAAGCCAGGTAGAAAAAGGTCTGCAAAGCAGGGAGCAGGTCTTCCAGGACTCTCAGCCGAGATGGACTCTGGCTGTGTAATGATTAGGTTATTTTATATGAAACTTTATACTAAATGTATACTTCACATGACTTTTTAACGTGTGCATACTAAAAGTACTTATTGTGGCAATTAAAATTATTTATTAAAAATAAATAAGTGTACATTGACAGATACTGTCGGCATCAAATTATTTGTCTGTATAATGCATGTGTCAGACATTTCCAATGAGAAACACAAGTCTCATGGTTACAGGTTATAGTTCTCCATGTACATTGGCCTGATCACATTTATCTGTCCGTTGCAATTATTATGTAAGCCTGCAGTTCAAATTCAGGATGCAGTTTGGAAGGCTGCCTGTTATGTATTGTGGAACTGACTTTGACAGTTTTGGTAGGTGGAATCCTAAGCAATAAGAACACACTTAATAATATTGCAAGTCGTGGAAGAAATTATGTTTAACTGACAAAAAATAATAATCAAACAGCCCTCAGTTTAAAACAAAGCTCAACATTTCACTGAAGCTTGCCTGTTCTAGAGGACCAAAGTAGACATAAATCTTTTTTAAACAAATTGCTGGCACCTTCCAGCATAGAGTCTGTTTGCAATTAGAGAAGAGATCCCATTGGCATCAATAGGATACTTTCTTCTAAGGCTGGGGAAAGGGTTAATGTTCCCACCCTACTCTGTCAGCCCCAATCTGGCGCTCCCCCCCCCCTTGCAGGCTATTTGTTGAAGAAAAACAAATCCTGCAAGGACAAACCATGTGACAAACATCGCACCAAGGCTTGTGGACACACTGTACCTTTAAAGCACATTCTTTCCCTCAAAGAATTCTGGGCATTGTAGTTTCCTAAGGGGTGCTGGAAAATGTAACTTTGCAAGGGGTAAACTACAGTGCCCAGAATTCTTTGAGGGAAAGAATGTGCTTCAGATGTGCTTTAAAAGGTATAGCATGTACAGTCTTAGGATGACTCACAAATTTACAGTGGAGAAGGGGCCAGGAATCGCTCACTCTGGCTTGGGGAAAGGTAGGCTCATTGAGTTTCACACAAGCGTTTCAGCTCTGGTTCCCAGTCAGCTGTGATGCTCACAAGGAGTTGATCTATGCTCAGTCCTGCACATGGTGTGTGAGAGGCCTATTTTGGCTTTGCATTGGGGTGAACCCAAGCCTTGGTATTGTGCGTTGTGACTTCTGCTTCCCTGTAACATAGACAGCGAATGTTTAGCTTGTTACAGGTTGGGCAAACCCTAAATGATTGTGTAAATAGTACAGAATACTTTCTCTCACTCTCTTAAAATCTCTTGCCAATTTCTGCTTCTTAATCTTTTCCCTCTATTTTTCCTGCTTTTCTTTTTCTCTCTTTTCCCGTTTTTATTGTATTTTGATCTTTTTTATAGTTTTGGACAAAAAAGACATATGATAGATAAGCTTTATCTCTTTATAAATCCTAATAAAATGTAGTCAGAAATAAATAAATAGTACAGAAGCAACATCTACATGGTGACCACATCACCCCTTTCTTGAATGCTGTCTTCTTTTTTTAACTCTTTAAGCATACAGGAATATTTCCCCACCCCCCTAACCTAGCCCTCTTCCTGCTATGCTAATTTTCTATCTTCAACTATTTATTACTTACTGGTATGAAGCATTTAAAACTAGCAGCCCCCTCCCCTCTTTCATAACGGCATGTGCATGTATTATATCTATATAAATATCTATATCTCTATCAGGGCCGGATTTAGGTTTAATGAAAAGCCTCAGCGCCTAGGGCTTGCCGATCGAAAGGTCGGCGGTTCGAATCCCCGCGGCAGGGTGCACTCCCGTTGCTCGGTCCCAGCACCTGCCAACCTAGCAGTTCGAAAGCACCTCCGGGTGCAAGTAGATAAATAGGGACCGCTTACTGGCGGGAAGGTAAACGGCGTTTCCGTGTGCTGCACTGGCTCGCCAGATGCAGCTTGTCACGCTGGCCACGTGACCTGGAAGTCTCCGGACAGCGCTGGCCCCCGGCCTCTTGAGTGAGATGGGCGCACAACCCTAGAGTCTGTCAAGACTGGCCCGTACGGGCAGGGGTACCCTTTAAGCTACTGAAGGTAATGGAGCCCTTTATACGTCCAGCTGTCCTTTGTCAACAACAAACTGTCGCTGTTTTTTGTGTTGAATATATGCCATATGATAATTTATGGACCTAATAGGTATCTAAAGCGGTTTGCACGGAACAAAATATGTATTTTAGCAAAGTAATTGTTGAGCTGAAATACAATTAAAAGGAAGTATATTAATAGTGAAATAATTATCAAGCTCCAACTTAAAATGATTGGGGGCCTACACAACACAAAACACTGTTGCTGTATGTAGGTTTTATTTGCTTTTTATCTTATATTTTGGAAATGTATATCCAGGTTTTTCCCCCCTTTAAATTTGTTGGGGGCCCACCCTAAGCTATAGCTTGTTTAGCTTATAGTAAATCCGGCACTGAATCTCCTCTAGTCTTGGAGACTTCATCACTCGCACCCCTCGCCTCCCCTCCAAAACGAAAGTGGCGCAACGTTCGCGCGGGCGCTTTGACCCCTCCTGCCCGGGCCGAGCGCGCTGCTCCGCCCCTCCGCCGCTTTCGCTCCTCCTCCGCCGGCG